GACTGGCCGACAACCTGATCGATCTCGGCTTGTGCCTTTAAGTAAACTTCAGGATGGAGGACCATTGCTAGAACGAAGTCGAGGACGGCGGTATTAGTCTAGCGTGCATTTTTAGCCGAGACAGATGATGATAAAAATTGACTGTTGCATTACCGTATCAGTACCACCTTTTGTGGATGGATGTCGTGGTGAGTATATCAGTTTGAGAACGTATGGACAAATTACCTATGTAGATCACTGCCGCAGCTCCCTTTAGATTATATTCAAGCTCTTCTGTCAGCGCCCCATTCGCTACAGCTTCTTTGAGATGAGAAGCCAAGAATGATGGTCTTGCAGACCCCAATTCCTATAACAATGTCAACAGGGAGCTGATTATTTGTTTCATGCAGGCCTACTATCTCGCTTTTCACTCTGTTGTAAGGCTCATCGTGCATCGCCCTTATCGAGTGTGACGCTTCCAGTGCCTTCCTCTTGACTCCCATGCCCGGCATCCAGCTGGGTATATACCTCACTACAGCAATAAGGGCGTAGAAGAGCATATTTAGACCAGGAGCTCACATGCGGGGAAGAAATCGATCAGCGTTGAGCCTGCGCCACCGACTTCGAAAGACAGCGCAATCGCTCTGTCCATCCGCTCGACATATTCGTCGTCAGCCAACGATACAGTGTATCCATATGTAATATCTAGTATGTTCGCAGCTGCAGACCTACGTGGAAATGGTCGAATTTCGCAGATGAAAGTACGCTAGAACTACTGCACCTCTTCAGGAGAAACATAAAATTGGCCGGCGTGTCGATGAGTGCGGCCAACATTCGTCGAACATGTTTCTCCTTGCGTGACCTGTAACTTTCGAGAGCTTTTCGTCTGAAACGCGGTTGTTAACCATTTGCGGTGTTGCCGCCACTGAGTTCCGTAAGGAAGGAGCGACGCAATGGGGTGGAGCCCGGAACTGAACAGCGAGACTGTCAGTAACACCTCCCTTTAGCGAATACACTCACAGCTCAGTCAGAACAACCGTCCTCGGACGATCAGAGTATTTAGAGCCTCGTTTATCCATCAGATCAAATGCTGCTTGCATAGAATTTACCACCAACGCTGGCTGGCCAAAAACGTCAAAGTAGAATATGTCACCTGTGATGCGAAAGCTTCCTTATTTACGGCAGACGCATCAAGGTGACTATACTCACCATAATTTTCGGCCCACTTTTGAAATTCCTTGGCTTGCTGTTTTAAGGGCAGTTGATATAGATTACCGAATATGGGGATCCTCTTCGGACCAGGTGGCAGTGTGTGGACCTTCCTGCCGGTATAGTGTCCATAAACAAGGACGAATAAAATCAATAAGAAGCCAAAAACTGCAGTATCAGGATAATCAGCAGGCATGAGTGATATGTTTAGTGGGGGAAGAAGTAGACAGCGAGGGCAGGCAAATATATACGCACGGTAGGTATGCGGGAGCTTCTACGATGTCCCTGGCGCGTAACGTATACGTCACTCGCTGTGTCTATGTTGGCCTAGCTGCGATCATGGTTCGAAAAAGTGACTCAATAGAACGTAATTCGAGGGATATCCCGCAATCAACCGTCTCGATTCGGTCCCTACTCCCAGCTTGGCAACGGCTATCTGAATGTCCATGCAATTGTAGGAAGACACTGGTGGCCCTCGCTAGCATTTCATCCCACCCAACCGTCCTGCTTGGATTTCTGCTTCCAGATCCAGCTGCTCGGTAATAGCTATTTGAATGACCATGCAACTAGCTCTTCAACTTTTCTTCCCGCCCAATTTGATGGAATTGAACATTCACGAGTATCTTAAATGCTTTTCTAATTGTAGTGCCGGACCGGTCAATACAACAAGGCTGACTATGGCGGAGAATGATGACGAAACGGAATCGGAGCTGAGTCAATACGCAGCGACATAGAAAAACCGAGGACTGGCCGATGCCGTGATGCCCTCACTGCAACATCAACGTCGCTGTAGACTTGTCGACAGCTCGGCATTGGAAGAAGAGATGAAATTGAAACCCCGCAGTTCTATTCGGAGCTCACGCTATTTGCGCGATTTCCATTCTGAACAGCGCCATTTAGAACACATGGCCGTAGATAAATAGTACTTACCAAGCAAGAGCCTGAGCAAAAAATCCACTCGTGCCTCAGTGCGTTGTAACCTAGTATTGTTGCAGTAAGTAGCCAGATCCAATTGAGGGAGCGAGCCTACAGCTTTGTGCAATGATGCCAGGTTCACTGAACCTGAGAACAGCGCGAGCCAACGTATAAGTAATTTGTAATTTGATATAACCCAGCGATGAAGGCTTCTCCAAATTTGGGGTTACGTAAGTGGAGCCCAATTCTATTGAACCACCAAGTTGGCGCTTATCATTAGGCCTCCGCGAACATGGATGGAGGTCGAATTTGAAACTGCGTCATAAGTCTCATAATTCTAATCCGGGTAGATTGTGCATACACGAAGGGCGTACTCACCTTCAGTCCAAATGTGATTTCACATGCAAATTTCAAGTCAGTATAACTGAAACAAATTTGAGTTCGATGTAATGAGGTGAGCACTGAGACTTTGAAAAGTATCATTGATCTGTATAAAAGAAAGTTAGAAGTACTCAAGCAGGCGGTCATCAAGCTCGTTGAGTCCGACATGGCTAAGACATGGTGAGTCAGTAGTATGAGGGCTGTGTGTCGAGTGAAGTCGGAGGTATAACTTCGCTTTGATCCATTTGTTAGCCTCAACTTTGAGTAGGTTTAATGGGCCTGAGATAATCGTCCATCAAATTAGAATGTAGATATTGGCATGATGTAGTGCCGCGTGACAGAGTAAATCATCCATATCGCGAATTTGAAAGAGTGTCATGTGGCCACTCCTCGATATCACACAAGCAACATGGGCATTTCTCAGGCCTCATAGCGCTTTCCGTACACTCCTTCCTGAACGGCCTTAATTTCTGGAGTAAATAAAATCAAGTCAAACATGAGGAACCGGCGCTGCAGCCTCACATAAACACTCACGAAGCGCGAGGTGCTTGGAATGGAACCGACATCTGGCCAAGCTACCTACATGTATACGTCTCATTTAAGAAATTCTGTGCACGGGCTGGGGAGCACTCACCCATCACAACCCATAAATTCGGTACTCCAAGCCATCGCCAAACGCCCCTAAGTTCACCTTCCGGAGTTAAGTTCCAGATCGGTGACATCTTGGATGCAATATTCGAACCAACGAGTTTCTTGATAGCAGACTCTGAGCTTTCGAATCTGAAAGAACATCCGCGTGAAGAGACTATTCTGACGAGAAGACATGTAGAGGAACTCACCCCGTTGCGAGGATAACGACGTCCGCGACTATCTCGCTTCCATTCCCGAATTTCAATCCGGTTTTGGTGAAATAAGCGATTTGGCTGTCGTTCTTCAGCTTTATCTCTCCGTCAATTATTTTTTGGCATGCACCGACGTCTGCATATCCAGAATGGGATGAGCAGCGAGATTCCTCAGAAAGAGTTGCGAATTACCTAAGTAATAGCCTCCTCCACGAAGATAAATAAGGTGCACTATACTAGAGCCCTCCGTCCCCATGGCGCATTTAAATCCGACTTTCCGCAATCCGTGCAAAAGGTCCCTACATAGATAGTCCAGCATTGTAGTGGTCTTCACGTTCACAGTGAATGAACTTACTTGTCCGCATCTGCAATAGCAGCCATGATGCGATCATTTGCCTCATTCTGCAAGAGCACCGGCATTGAATTGGACAAACGATCCGCGACGTCCGTGGAGACACCACCATCGCGATACAATCCTGATGAGCACAACCATGAGCGGAATGCACCTATAGTAGAACTAAACCCGTAGGCTACCGACGACGAGTGGTATTCCTGACGTAGTTGACATAACAAATGTCGCGTTTCTCTGGACGAGGGTGACATCTAGACAAGCGCTCAATAGCTTCTTTATAAATGGAACGCGAATCCAAGACCCACCTACGCCATGTTCTGCATAATCGGCGGCGATATCATGGGCTATTATGGATGATGAGCATCATGAAGAAGAGTCTCGAAGGGCGGTCTGGATACCTGACGAAGCCGCACCAACAATGACTACCTTCTTTCCAACATGATCCCTAGCAGAACGGTGCTGGGTGGAGTGGAGTACTTGTCCCCGAAACTCATCCTGCGATGATATTAGCTCGATATTCCCAGAGGCAGATTACTGAGCGCGAAAACGCACTCGTCCCGGGAAGGCCGGAATATACGGGACACCTCCGTGCCATCCAATCGCCAATACCACATGATCAACATGGAAGACTCGTTGAGCCCCGTCCTTTCTTCGTACTGTGACAGCCCATTTACCGTCGGTCTGATCGACATGTGTTGCCATCGCTGATGTCCATACATTGAGCGCCATTGCATCGGCGTAGTGTTCAAGCCATCCCGCGAGCTATCACAAATGTCACGGATGTACACCTCAAGAAGTACTATTACGACTCGCCTTCTGTGCTGGGGCGAATACCGGCCAAGTCGACGGAAACCTTGACATACCAGGATAAGAGTAGGAACATCAATGAAAAAAATCATAGATTCTTACGGAAGATACGGCATGTGGTCATACCCTGGCGAGAATCCGGTTGTTAAGAGCCGTGGCAACATGGCTAGGCCACTTACAAACGGGATCATTTAGACAAAGCGCTTCATACCGATCCCTCCAATTGTCTCCGATCCGATCTTGCTGTTCTATCACCAAGGTGGAAACACCCAAGCATTTCAGCCGCGCAGCAACTGTGAGCCCGCCCTGGCCACCCCCAATAATGAGGACTGCAGGATCGCTCTCCGCAAACGACCTGGCATGTTCTCGCTCTGTTTCCCATAGGCCTCCATTGGATGCGGATTCGGCAAACGGCCCAACCTTCTCTGGGAATCCTTTCAGATCTTCAAGATTAGTAAACATTGTATAACCCTTCCATATCCCACTCGACGTCGGAACGAGACGGAAGATACCGCTTCCAATCCCCACTTCTGTCTCGAAGTCGAATAGCCCCATGAGCCATACGAGGTCGGGGTACGGCCGCAGTAAACTAGCGTTCTTTAGCTTGAACGCCGTTGGCTTCATGGCCGGAAGCTGATTCTCCAAGAACCTGGTGATCTTCGCGGCTCCATGAAACGTACGGAAGTCCCATGTTAATGCAAGTAGGTCTCGCCACCATCCCTCCTCGGCGAAAAGACGGACGACGCCCGCGACGTCATTGGACGATACTCGCTGCGAAAACGCGCAGAAACACTCCGACGCAACTTCATGAGCGTCGAGGTCGGGAGGAACTGTAGCACCCAGCTTATCAAGAGTTGGTAAATTGGATTCTAAGCCGGTGACGGGAGAATGTGCAGGTTGGGCATCGAGTGCAGACATAGCGAAGCGTTCAGCAGTCCAGGCTATTTTCCTGAGAATGATAAGGACGGGAAAATAAATGAGACATTGGGGCCGACACATCCATGAACCAAACATCCGGGGGTACCGGCGATTACCATGAAGGCGCACGAGAACATAGATGAACGCTGGGACATCTCACGTCGTGGAATACAACTTCCGTTGAGGACTAGGTTGCGACATGCGCTACCTGAAAGCATGGGAGCTGTACCTGCATTTGTGGTGGGACGATGGGAGTACATAAGGTTCTGACCAGCTACTTTATATGCTATGACGCACCGGTATGTCTGGCAACATGATAACTCCGATCCTACTACAAACCTGATCACCCAGTGGATCTACGAGCTTCATATACATAAGGACATGTTGTGCGTCATGAGGTGAAATCAAGACGGAACGCTACTCACCGAACACAATGTAGAAGATGGCCCGCAAATTACCCATCGAATACTTTTTTACTGGTCTGCCCTGACAACGAGGCAATTTGAACACTTCTATTGAGCGGCTCATCATATTCTACAGTGACAGATAGATGTTCATCATAACATATATCAGGAAGATACGATTTTAGGGCACACGCACATACGCCATGATATCATCATTTACAAAGCAGCTCCAGAAATCGGTGTCGTTTCAAAGAAGCCTGAGAAGGAGAATTTTTATCAAAGAATATAAGTCTCCCAAGCCCGAGTCTGTTGGCCGAGGTTCAGCTCTTACGGCACTCACTGCTTGCTGACTGAAACAAACCAAGAAAGAACCCTATAGCAGCGACGACAAAGCTGAAACGCTAGCGAGATGAGATGAAGCAGTAGGTCTTCTTCAGTATGTACATCTTACAAAAACTAGGGCTATCTGAGGTTCCGAGCCAACGGTGTCGAAGGTGATACGGCCCAGGCACACGAAGTTGGATGAGCGCCGAGCACAGATGTCCAGACCCTAACCTAGAAGCTTTACAATCTTCAGCCGTTTCAAGTCGTTCGGATATATTCATTGTCCTTCACGATGGCTGACTCGTATGTACTAGTACACGCCCATAGTTATACATTTGATGATTTGCTACAGAATCCACGTCGGGGTCAGCCAACACTCCTCCCAGTGGCCACTCGACGCCCACCGCCGTCTACGCCTTCTTCATACCCAGGTTCACTTGGACGGACTTGACATGTGTGTAACTGTTCGGACAGTTTAGCACCTCTCACGTATATTCTCACGGGAGAACAGAGAAATACTCACTTTGCCAATGCGTACTCGCCGAGCTCCCGGCCGATACCGCTCTGCTTGTACCCGCCAAATGGCACTGCCGGGTGCAGATTGTTCGTCGAGTTGACCCAAACTGTGCCCGCCTTGAGCTTGTGCGCAGTCTGGAGCGCCCGGTTGATGTTCGTTGAGAACACTGCCGCCGCGAGTCCGTACACCGTATCGTTCGCCTGGTGAATCAGGTCGTCGTCGTCGGTAAACTTGATCAAGACGCCAACTGGCCCAAAGATCTCCTCCTTCACTATCCGCATGTGTGGCTTTACATCTGTGAAGATCGTCGGCTGGATGAAGTATCCCTCCGTGCCGATCCGCTCGCCACCGATATGCAATGTAGCACCCTCCTCTTTTCCAGACTTGATGTAGCCCATGATGCGCTGCGTAGTACATATTGTCAGCATGTCTGTCAAAATAATATCCGAAGCAGCAGATACGCACGTCGTACTGCACCTGGGAGACCTGAGGTCCCTGGAAGTTGTCTGGCTCGAAGGGGTGGCCCACTTTGACATTCTGCGTGCGCGTAGTGAACCTCGCCAAGAACTCGTCATAGATCTTCTCGTGGACGAAGACACGCGACCCTGCGCAGCACGTCTGACCATGGTTGTAGCTGTGGAGTAATTGTTAGTCGGATAATCGGATAAATGCATAAGATTCATCAATCAAGCTTACAAGATACCGAAAGCAGCCCAGTTAACGGCCTGCTCCAAATCGCAGTCATCGAAGATGATATTCGGGCTCTTTCCGCCAAGCTCGAGTGTGACATTCTTCAAGTTTGACTTGGCAGCTGCCTCCATAATCTTCCTGCCGACAAGAGTGCTGCCAGTGAATGCAACCTTCTCTATGTCCATGTGCTCCGCGATAGTTTGGCCGACAGTGGTACCATAACCGTTCACGACATTCACAACACCTGCTGGGAAACCGACCTCGTGGATGAGTTTTACGATGTAGAGAGCCGAAAGCGGTGTAAACTCGGAAGGCTTCAGAATAATGGTGTTTCCAGTAGCAAGAGCGGGACCCAATTTCCATGCGAGCATCAGCGCTGAATATGGCGATCAGACAATGATACCACATCATCCGAAGCCATACGCACCTGGGAAGTTCCACGGGATGATCTGGCCGACCACGCCAATAGGCTCGTGACGGGTGTACACGAACTGCGCTTCGGAGGTTTCAATCGTCTTTCCCTGATTCTTATCCGCCCAGCCAGCGTAATAACGGAAACAGTTGATCACAGCCGTGAGGTCATCCTTGGCCCAGGTGAAAGTCTTGCCATTATCAAGAGCCTCGATGGCGGCGACTTTGTCAATGTCCTCCTCGATGCGCTGCGCAAGCTTGCCTAGCAGGACACCTCGCTCACGGCCGGACGTATGGAGACCCCAAGTGGTCTCAAATGCGCGGTGAGCAGCTTTTACGGCAGCGTCGACGTCAACGGAGGTTCCCTCGGAGATTTTGGTGATAAGTTTGCCGTCGGAGGGATTGATAACGCTGCACGAGCGAGTCAAAAAGAATGGATACAGCCAAAATCATCGCGACATACTCGATCGTAGACCCATTTGAGCCATCGATGAACTGGCCGTCAACATAGATCCCAGTCGAGAACTCGACGGAGCCCTTGAAGACGGGGGTACTGAACGTATGAGAAAAGACGGAGGGCATGGTGACGGCGATAAATGAGGGATAGAGACGAAGGGTAAGGGCGATCGCGCTGACTTATATCTGTTCCGCTGCGAAGGCCAGCCCTGTAAATCAGGGAGTGAAGGATGTGATCACGCAAGAGGAGAGGAGGCCCGGCCCTCCTATCTGTTGGTCAGCTGCCCAAAGAATCTCACCGAATCGCAGGATCGGTGGCTTGAAGCGGAATCAAAGCGTGCGTCCTTGGTGCGCGCACGCCGCGCACGGGACACATTCAACAGACGGGTCGTCCTTGGCGTTGCGCCCGACGACGACAGTGGGCTCGCGAGCCCCACCATATTCACTGCAGACATCCGCCAGTCGACGCGGGCGGACGAAGTGGCCGGGTTGTGTGAATACGGACACGGAGGTGGGTGGCAAAACACTGAACAGCGCTGCGAAAACATCCGGGACTCTCCCATTGATGCGCCCACGTGCCCGATCGCCTCCGCAGGGCCGCAGCGACTGGACCAAGTCTTCTCCATCGCAATGCACCTGCTGACAGTCTTCGACGTTTCGCATAGTTCAATGGGTCTCGACAATGTCGATTCCTGCACATGCAGTGGAGAGGGAGAAGACGTGTAGTACGCACCAAACACTGGCGATGTGACTGATTATATCGATACAATCCATGAATAGACACACCTATCACCTCGGATATACTATCACAAGCCGTGAGCCAAGGTTCCAGCATTTCACTCTTTTTCCTTCGTAAGCAGCTCGTAAGTAGCCAAGATTCTGTTCGGGACGTCGTATCAATCACCTGGGTGTGCATCGTCCAGGATAAATGCAAGTAGCAGCGCAAGAAGACTCGCGAAACATATACGCGTTGCCTGAACTCGGGAGCCTAGCACTTCTACACAATTCCGTCTACTTCTCCTCGGTTTCAACCAATAGGTCGAAGAGTCGAAGCACAGCGTGGGACTCGTCTGACATATCTGAAATCGTAATCTATGGGGTCAACATCTCCCGTACACTCGTAAAGTTCTACGAAGAGTCATCTCGGCCTGTGCCGCACGGCGTGAGACGTCCTTCCCTTACCCGAAGTTGGAGCGTCCTCGTCACCCCCTCTCGCCACCTCTCTACATGCGCCCCTTCCTTAGCCCCCCAGCGCATCTCGAGCTCCTGGAACACCTCCACGCGACGGGTCACGGCAAATCCGAGACGCTCGAACAGACGCACGCTGGGCTCATTTGTCTCCGCGATGCGTGCGACGAGCCTCTCGCGCGGAACAGGCAGCGGAGCCGGTGCGGATGGGGAGGTGGCATACGACAGCATGAGCTCCAGTGCAGCCAGGGCGAGGCCGCGTCGGCGAAATGCAGGCTCTGTCGGATTCTGATAGTGAGTGCCGATCGCGATCGGCAAACAGCACTGTACACACACCCGCGATCATAACCTCTGCCTCGGCTTCGAAGTCTTCGTCCTCCGGCGTGCCCTTGAGGAAAAGGTTGACATCGCCGACCATAGGCAGCGAGTGAATATCTAAATTATCGTCGCCGTCGGCGTGCGTCAGTGTACTCGGTGCACTCGGATCGTCGGCATCACGGGGGCGGGCGAGAATGATGAACGTTAGCTCTGGATGTTTGCGTATAGGCGAAGCATGGAGGGGCAAATCGGGATCATTGTTCGTGGGCCAGGCCGAGTCAGCTGAACAGCTTTTACGGCAGTAATCCATGCTCACTGTCTTCGTCAGTCTGCCACTTCTCTGCGCTCAAGCGAGCAGTCAGCTGACACTTGTCTGCCTGAACCTAGATTCAAACCAAATGACACACGTACGCTGCATCTCATACTCTTCTTCGAGGGTCAGTGGCTCGCTCGCAGTCAACTCGCGCAGCTCCGCACTCGTCATCCATTCATGATACTTCTATCTGCATAAATGCATGATCAGGAAGAGCTTCATTGTTTGCGCTTGGGTATTCCTGAGGAAAGAACTGACGGCGACGTGCTCGGGTCTGTCGATTAAGACGTGAACAATACACAGTATCAGTATCAGCACGGCTGCTCGAGAGGACCAACTGCAGGCGTATATACTCACCGATAGGGCACGAGTACGACGTCTTTGTCGACTATGATCGTGTTCTCGTTGCACCGCATCACAGATTGTAGTAAATGCCGGGCCCAGATGCGCCTCTTAAGATGATAACAGCACAGAACAAGCACAGAACTTGGAGATGTTTCGGCAGCACTTGTTTTGGACCTATCCAGATACTGTCAGCATATTCTGCAGATTATCGAACACATTCGTGAAATTGTTCAACGGATTCATCCATCCACACTGACTGCTCGTGCAAGGACAGACAAAGACCACATCGATTTACGCTTATGGCCGCCTCAGTCGTAATGCGCATCATCCGTACATATTGAGAGATTTCGGGTGTGCCGCTGGCTCGAAAAGGGATGACAGATGATTCACGCAACGATCTAGTCGATGTAAGAGTAGCACGGTATCACCCACCTGAAATCCTTGATATGTACGACAAGTCGTTCAATGTCTTTAGTTTTCGCCCGAAGTCCAAGCTTCCGGTGAACTAAGACCTGCCCTAGACATATCATGTGACAAGTGCGTCCTGGAAATTCGAAATGAGTCCAAAGTTCACCGAGTCCGAGTCGCGTTTTCTTTTGACAATATGACCGTCGCTCAGACCCACGCACGCACACAGATCGTGCATGTATGCGATGGAAATACAGGCTCAACAAGACACGGCGAAGGCGAGCTCTCGCTGGGTAACCTTGCAAGGCACCGTGACGGCACTGTCTTGACTTCGAGTAAAATGTTTGCATTCATTGGAACTACTGAACAACTGCACAAAGCAGGTGATCCATAAAAACATGTCCAGCCGATCTGACAGTGGCATTCACAATGTGGGGCACGAATTTATCTCGTCAACTGTGCTGCGGAGATTCAGGCACAAGCTTTCAACGAACTTTTGAGATGAGGCCCGAGTCAGGCCGGGATGGAAGCCAGGATCAGGTGCGGGTGAAAGTCTGTCGGAGCGCTTAAGATATCGATCTGCGCACCGGAGCCGCCTCAAAGCCGCCCCCTCTCCAAATTTGGACGAGGGTCCCTTCGGGAGGACTCGGGGATGGGTGCCCCAGAGCAGAGGTTTAAAAAAATGAAATGCAACTCATATGTACCGCGTTTCCCCATAGAAACCGTTGTTGGAAATAAGCACCCCATAAATCAGTCATATAAATTGACAAGTCTCGCCAGGACTGAAGTTTTCCAGATATTTTACCACCACGGGCAAGGGAAAAGACACCCCATTAGCCAAACAATGAAACCCCCAAAGGTCCCCTTTAACCACCCATAGCACCAGTGAGATCCACAGTCGCAGATGGGAAAACAAGCGACGATATGCCCGCTAGAATCACCTTTCCAACAATTTCCGTCTTTTATACCTCACCTCAGGTGACTTACCAAGAGCACACGAGTCCCCGCAGGCAATAGAATCATCACCTAGACCAACCGTGCATGCACTGCGCAGCTCGCTTCCCTGTCGCAACATCATCCGCGCGAACACTTATCCTGTAGCCCAACGACTGTTCCGAGACGTCCCGCTCGCGCCTTCTCGCTGCCCTCTGCCGGTCTGCCTGCCTAAATGCCCACCGTTTACAACCGCACCAGGATCCGGAGTGATGGGACATCAGAAAATTGTGTGCGAGGACGTACCGCTGTGCTTCGGCGAGCGCGACGCCGCCGTGCGCACTGCATGGCGGTGACGGCGGCAGGATCCCAGCAGGCGAAGCCTGGTCTGCCTTCCATCCGCGGCGAGCTTCGCTGGGCGCCCCACGGAGCCCCGTGTGAGGATCAGTGCCTCCTGGGGCTGCCAAGCACCTCCAGCACGCTGCGCAGACATGGGTGCGCGAAGGCGCGAAGTGTACGTCGTGGGTGTGAGCCAAGTGTAAGGCTGGGCAAGGCTGGTGCGGAGTGACAGCACGAAAGACGCCGCGGGCCCCGGTCAGCGACGAACATGGGTCCAGCAAGGAAAAGTACGATATTGAGCCATGTTGCTACGATGAAGGCGGGGGAGCAAGACTCGTGAAGTCGAGCGCACAAGCGAGAGACAGACAACACAGCAGGTTACAAACTTGCTGCTTACCGTTACTTACTCGTACTATAGCTCGGGCGAAGTCGGATGGATGAAAAAGACGCCCGCGTCGGAGCGCCTGAGCAGGCTTCCGCTCCGTCCGCTCGCGCACCGGCTACATCGCCAACCGACCGGATGGGGGCTTCTCCCCATTGAACGCGAGTTTGCGCGTCGGAGCCATTAGGGACTTTGTGTGAGGCCGCCGGTTATGATCCAGTCCCACGTCCGGACGAGAACGGTGCATGGTCAAAGTGATATAAGGCCTGGATAGACGAGGGTGTTGGGTTTTCTTTTGCCCCCGCTATGCTGCTGCCCCTCGCGATCTTTTTTGCCTCCGTTCTGGGTATCCGCTAGTGGACGTCTACGGTCTCCACATGGTGCTCCCTCCGTTAGCTCTTGATTTGAAAATGTGAGTCGCCACAAAGGCGCAGATCACGTCTATATCCATCCTGCAGGGGAACCCGACACACGACGAGATTATCAACGAGGACTCGCCCTGATATTTGGCCTTACGGACTAGTCTGGCTGCCTCCCTTGCACCAAGCGCTCATAGTCATAGTCACTGGCTACGAGGGCGAGTTCATCAGTCGATGACAAGCATCTTGTTGTTTGTCGTGCGTCGTCCCGACCATCGTCATCTCTCAGCAACCCCAGGGCTGCGATATTCTCAGGGGGGCTCTCCGCCCTTCCGTTCCGGGCTTCTCGACGGATGCATCCATTGGTTCTTTTTCTCATCCATGAACTGACCGATGTCTCTTGGCTGCGTACCTTGGGTTTGATTCCACTCGTCTTGCCACCTCAACCCGTGTTGTGTCCTCGCGTGTGGTGCAGCCTGCAGGCCGTTGGAATGTCGGAAAGTAATTAGACGCGCACCGGAGCCTATCCAATGGGTTGGACTCTGCGATCCTCCTTACTCGAGTCCACGGGCGAATGTGCGTATGATCATTGTATGTAAGTTCATCAGCTGATGGTTATGATCTTTGGGCCTCGCCATGCATCCATGTTAATGTTCCCAACTACAGCGGGACTCCGACGCGCTCTCAGCGCGAGGTCCTCCGTCCTTCCGTTCCGGGATTCTTGATCGGACGTCTCCATTGATACTCGTCTAGATACTCATATACCCATCGACATCGACATCTGCCAACCTTTCTGCTCCTTGGACACCGTCCCTCGTCGCGTCCGCTGGCCACAGTGAATCTATACACTCACCCCCTTTGTGCGGAGCCGGCGCCTTTCGCTTCCGCATGCTCGCGCCTGCGGACACATGCACCTCCGCATATGGTTTGCTGTGTTCCGTCCACTGGTGAACAGGACCCTCATCTATCAGGAAGGTCGTCTACGTTGTCCTCATTCGAGCTGGTATTTCATCGATGTAGTACGTGAAGAACGACAGGCGCTCACAGTCCACTGTGTCGGATGCAAGTGCCCCTATTCCTCCTCCCACCGTCCTTGTATGCGCCTTTCCTGCTTTGTGTCTCTACACCATCGGCAGTGCTCTATTCCTGCCTCTCAACCAGAGGCCACCACGGCCGTCGAGAAGAAGTCGAAGCCGGAGACGCTTGCCATCAGGTGTTCACCATCCGGCCACGAGCTAATATTGGATCCCATTCAGTAGAACATGATCCCCACCTTCTTTTCCACCCTCATCACATATATTCTTGTCTCGCGCGTATATTCTTGTCCTCCTTTTGACTTGCTCTCCAACTTTGCCGTCGTCAGCGTTCGCGCACGCAGCCCAGTGCCCAATGGCAGCGTGTTTCCTATTCATGCCGCGCCACGCCGGGCAAGAGGCGTCCACCCTAACTCCGTCTAGGTATGATCAACCTAGTTTATGCAACTCGGTACCGCAAGAGGCCGCATACCATGAGGAAAGTATGACGCTTGGCGGTCAGGGGATCGCTCAGAGCGGATGCGAGAACCGCACTCCGGACAGGAATTTGAAGTGCGGCTTCTTGGCTTCTGTACCCCGCCTCTGCCTTAAATACAGCATGGGCTCGCCGGCTACGCGAGCGTTCCCCACCTCGCTGCTTGCCCCTGCCCTGCTCTTTCTCTGCTCTGGACTGTTCTGAACGAGTTTGCACTGTCTACGCTTGGGAGTGCTGCAGCTGGGGAGCTATGAACTGTACCACTATGGTGTCTCATCCGAGCCGACGCCGACTCTCGATTGCTCTTGGTCACTGTTTTGATGCTTGCACGACATCGACGATTGACCGGGAGACCTCTGTGCGGCCCAATTGGTCTTCTCGGCCGCCTCTACGCTTTCACTGCTGGTGGAAGCGCGTCGCCTGAAGGACTTGGCGGCGGCGGTAGCGCGTTTCACCCCTTGTTGCGCAACTTGCGCCTGTTGCCCTTGCGACCTCGTCAACCTCAGGAGATCGGAGTGGTGGTTTCATACGCTGGGTCTGGGCCATGGCTTGTACCTCGGGTGTGCAGTGTCTCCTTTTGTGGTCCTCATAATCCTCATCTTCTCTAACGACGACCCGCTGGGTGTGAGGATGGTCATCTAGGTCGGCTGACCTGCGGCAGCATGCCTCTGGCCCGGACCTTACTCGCTGGTCGTTACTCAGGTGGGCAAGTCGCTGCACGAGTTGTAGACGCCCAAGGCACGTCTGATGGAACAAGTGGTGTTGTACCCCGCGTTCGGCGGCCTAAATTGGGGTGACGCTCCCGCCCGGCAGAGCCTCGGCTGACTACTCAGTCGACGTTAACCTTGCTGGTTCTGCATCTGGGTCCGCCTGATACTCGTCTGATCCAACCCGGGTTGTCAGCAGACGTGGCGCCAGGTCTTCCAGGGATGTAGCCTGCGTTTGATGGATGTGGCGACCCCGCCCCGAAGATTGAACAGCAGCCGACGGTAGGCGCGAGGCGGAAGCAATTTCTCGCGCTCGTGTCCTTCGTCGAATGCTGTTCAACTTCGCACTTCTGTCTGGCACCGTCGGACGGCGACACCGGCGAGGCCCCTGCGGTGTCTGTGCGGACGATGGTGTCTGCCGTTGACACTGGACACGTCGGACAGGCGGGAACAGTGTGGGGCAATGGGGTCCGGACGCCACACGGGCATCAAGCGAGGGCAGACTAAGTGCTCACAAGGTTTTTCCATCCATGCCGACCCATCAGAATGGTCATCTGAGAAGGTCGGCACACTCTGCTGTCTTTCCCTTTCCCCTTCCGGCTGCTACACCTTACGTAAGCCATCTGGTTAAAGGCCCGGCGCCCGCCCTTTTGCCTTCTCTTCGTCCTTCCCACCAACGCCTGTCGCTCCCTGCTCTACTTTGCTCAAACTCCCTGCGCATTCACCATGTCCTTCGAGAAAGCTGAGAAAGCAGAGAGCGGCGAGATCACCCAGGTGGACGTGAACTACCCTACTTCCCATTCGACGATGCGGCCTTCGCCCTCCCCTGCGCAACTGAGGAAGTTGGGCAACCCTGGGCCGCTGTGCGTTGTTACTCTTAAATGGCTTGAGTAGCCCGTTCTCATCAGGTCGTCTTTCACAGTGGCTTGTTCGCTTTTGCTTCCACTACTCTTTGGTTGTCCTTCGTTAACGCGGGCGTACGGGACATTAATGCTCCCAACGCAGTCGCGTCGATGGCCCTCTTCGTCGGTGGACTCTGCCAGCTTCTCGCGGGCATGTGGGAATTCGCCTGTGGCAACAGCTTTGGTGCTACAGGTCAGTCTCCCCCAGTATCTGTGGCCTGACCTGTCCCTCATGCCCCCCTCCCAGCATTCTCCATGTTCGGTGGTTTCTGGATGTCTTATGCGACGATCTTTATTCCGGGATCGGGCATCCTTGCTGCGTATGCGGACAACACGACCGAGCTCAACAACATGCTCGGATTATACCTGGAGATGTGGTTTATCATCACATCCCTCTTGTTGTATGTGCCTCTGGCGTATCTCTTCCTGCTGACTGAGCTGATCGCCCTGCGCCGTAACTAGTATTGCTTCAACGCGGCGAACCCTCGGGCTTGCTGCATTATTCCTGTGCTTGGCGATTACCTTCCTTTTGCTCGGTATCGGTACGTGATGGCATCCCGTATATCTTGACGCGTGTGCTGATGGATTGCTCCGCTGATAGGCAAACTTGTGCAGTCAACATCCACCGGCACGACGAAGGCCGGCGGCGCGATGGGTATCATCACTGCCTTCATCGCATTCTACGTTGGCACTGCTCAGTTGCTTGTACGTGAGGAGAGCTGGTTCACGCTTCCGGTCGGGCACCTCCCTCAGAGGCTTGACTGAGTGCGTTCCGTGTATGTCACTGTATGGTCTCTTGGATGCATGGGCGATCAGTTGGATCAGCGGACTGTTTGCGGTCGACTATGCTCTCCACCATTGTATTATTACTATCATCAGCCGGATATCCCTGTCATATTCCAAAAGTCGGATAGCCCGTAATGGAATGTTAATATTTTTTTCGCATCTGCTATTGTACTCGTGGATGGTGATACTGAATGCGGCTTGCTGGTTCGCAGACTTCCATTCGATGGGGATCAGTGGCTGGCGCCACAGCTCGTATGTTGGAAATTTACGAGCAGACTGCAGCTCAGAATAGCCAGGGACAGGCATCTGACATGACTGCGGTCCCCATGACGTGAGAATGCAGCGGCTGCATTGGGAGCGGCGGTCGTGGGGCCGCTCTTGTCTAGCTTACTCTGCACTGGCGCGCATCCTGAGGCCTGATGTCCGAGTCTTCCGGCTGATTCTTACGAGAGCTCTTTGTAAGTTCACTGGCCCCACATTCAAACTCCAAGTGGCCCCGTATCCGCATGCAATTGAATGGATGAGAAGTCGGGTGCAGGCTTAAGTGATTTCAGGGACCAGCTTGAAAGACCAATTATGCGGCGGGAATTTGCATAGGTCCAGATCTGTGTGAGATCGCGCGGGGTCGCACGAGTTCAACCAATAAAATGAACATGTATGTAGAATGCGTGCGCCTGGTACGCGCCGTTGTCAAAATTGCTCATAGAGTGCACCGCCCTGGCCTGAATCTTGGCAATGTCAAACGACTAATAATAGTGCATTGGCAAATTTACAAAGAGCCAAATAATTCCCTCTGAGCTTGAAAGCGCCAAAGCTTTCAAAGGGTTTGCTAATTCTATTGAATCAGACTCCTGTCGCTATGGGCATGTGCTCTCACGGAGCTTGTGTTGGTAGGTGTCAGAATCTTGCTGTTGTCATCTTGGAAACCCCTTCAGAGGCTAGGGCAGTGAGTCGGGAGAAGAAGTATGCCAGCACAAAGTGGTATATGGCAGCAATCAGCTCCATGCAGCCAGCACCAGCCCGAGCCCCCGGATAACAATAAATAGAACCAGGCGACAAAAGATGGAAGGCTGTCCGAATCTTTTGGCATTTGCTCTGTCGTTGCTCCGTCGCTTTACGAGTTTAGTGCGTATACTCATTCGCGTTCAAGAGAGGCGACAGCTGACTAGCACTTCGAATGCTAACCATCGGATTACGGCAAGATGAAGTCGCATCTATTGGGGGGAGCATCAGGCGATTCAGTGATCTCATCCTCAGCTGGCTGTCGAAGACACTGAGGACGAGACCGCAGACTCACGACCACGTTCGTATAATTTATAGCACGTCATATTCTGGCAGATGCGGACCAAGAGCACATCATGGAGGCAATGGTGAGCGTTCCAGTACGACCTACAAATTCTATTCCATCTCTTCTATGATACAGAACCGTCAATAATGATGACACGAGACGCGACGATAGGGGAGAAGCCCCAAGTAAGGAAAGGAACATCGTCTTTACCCCGGATGGCAATAGTCGTGGCGGCGCAGGTCGTCAAAAACGGGAGGATGCCTAGTTCCACGCAGTGTACGAGGGAGGGATCAGCCCTGACAGAGATATTGAAGAACGCTCATTGTGCGATCCGTCGCTGTGGAACGCCGTAACTCGGAACGCCTGCGCTCTGGGGCGAATTGCGCGCAAATGGCGACGCCAATTCAGCGAACGGCTGTCAATACCAGTCGGCACCCCCACGACCGCGATCATGCAATCACGCAGTGTGATGCACACACGTCCCGCTGTTTTTCTTGTGTCCTTACTGCGCGTGTCTCCGTCGCCGATCGGCTTTGTTCTTTTGACTTCGGCGGTAGTGGAGGAGGAAACAGATCGTCCCACACCGACCGGCGCCTTACGTGTATGTGTTTGCTCTTCAAGAGCACGAACCACTGAGGGGCGGGACTGACCATATTTCCGGTCGGTGCACGGACATATCCATGTCCTGTGACCGCAGCGACACCCATCGCCATGTGCCCTGCCACCATCAAGCAGTCCAGCATGGCACCACCAGTATTCAGGGTGATATCGACCTCACAGTAACCTTCTGGTATGAACATGGTGGACATCTGCGGGTAGGTTACGCCGTCGAGGACGAGACGTCGCTCAAGACCCTGACCTGGAAACCAAGTCGGTATTTGACATGGAGTGAGAGTCGGTGAAGCGTACTCACATCCATCGACACTCGTTGTCCCCGCCTGCCAAGCACCCTTGCTGGACCACACGCAGAACGCAGATATCCAGCCGCTGAGATCGTCGGCACCATACGATGTCGGATTATAGTGCGCGACATGATTCCAGAATTCGATGTCCGGCTTACCATCGAACGCCTCCACAAAGCGACCGAGGATTGGGCGGAGCATCCCCGCCCACGTGCGAGGTTCTGGGCCGAAGGATTCAAGTCGGCCGATACGGTCCAGCAACTTCTGCCAGTCCGCCTTCTCGCCCTCGAGTGTCACAGAAGGTATACCGCAGGCGCAAAGCATGTCGAATACGAAGCATCTGCGGTGAGCACTGTGTGAGATCTCGATCTTTGTTCTCACGAGACACTCACGAATTGACCATTGACATCATCATCACCGAGCACACTGTTGTATCGACCAACGTTGTTGTTGTGAAATCGGGGAGAATCCATCTCGTCAACCCTTCGTCGCATACCTGTATTGCAGAAATGTCAATATCAGGCGGCATACACTTGACAATGCATAGGTGTATACATTTTTGTGTAGGTGCTCTGTCGTCTGACGCGCCATGCTCCCGAAGTCAACTGGATTTCGAGGGCACCCAACCTCGCAAGCAAGGCTGAGGGCGTTCTTTGTGCGATTAGGAAACAGAGTGCGTAACAGCGTTGTATGAGAGTTCATGCTGTGCGTATTGTCAGACTTCAAGTAGCGTCTGTTAGCTCTGATCCACTCACTAGAAGCTGAATTGACTCAGAATGGCTATCCAGACATCGTCTGGCCTTCGGTATGACGAGCAACCAGTCAGTCACTATATGAACCAAGATGAGGCGGTCGTCTGACCTTAAGCTCAAATGATGATGGGTATTGTATGCTTGCATGACCGTGTATACAAAGCCGTTGCTCCGAGGATATAAAGTCGCGACTTCGTCCTCCAGGACGGAGCTTTGGAATACCTCCTCACATCGTCCCCACTGCCCCGCGCACGCAGCTTGTAGCAAATCCTTCGGTGTCTTATTGGAGTTCCCGCAGTCCTTTCCGAATTGCGCAGCAAGGTGTGGCGCGACCCGGAAAGTCACAGGCATAGTACGAGAAGACTAGTATCGCAGGGGAATGAGCAAGAGCGGCGCTCACTACTCGAAAAACTGAATTTGTTGTCCTATACGGTGGGAAAGATTGAGAACATTGGCAGATGCTCAAAACAAAGGCAAAACTGATTTCGGATCTGAGAATTCATCAGTCAATTCAGAGTCCATATGTAGAAGAATCATTACAACTCTTACCATAAGAGGTTGCATGTAAGTGTTGAAAACAATCATCAGGCGGTCTGGAACCTCTTGGAATCTCAATTTCGGTATACCCGTCAGTATTAGGCACCATTATCTCAATATACATTACGCAGCTTGTCAAGGCCTTTTAAAGGTTTAATACAACTTCGAATTCATCATGATAGTTGAACATTCAAGTTGATCAAACGCGAGAGCAGGTGTGGCACAACCATGGGCGCCTACGCGACTTGACTTTGAATCACGTGAACTAGCCACATGCATTGCGGACGAACGCGACGAAACGCGTGCCGTTTCTTGAAGTCTTTCCACTGAGCTCCTCTCGACTTTGACCAACTGGCTGCGATGGCTAATCTGCCGTCTCTTCTCCTTGGATCTCTCAATCCCTCATCACGAAAAAAGGCAGAGCAGAGTCTCAAAAACCTTAGTTCTCAGCCAGAATTTCTCTCTGCCCTTCTCCAGCTCGTGCTAGACCAGTCGCAGGATCGCGCCGTCCGTCTTGCAGCAAGTATCTATCTGAAGAATGTCATAAAGTCAAGATGGGAAGACGTGAGTTTTAAGACCTTATGTATATCCATCCGCTGTACGTCAAGGATTGTGGAAATTATCACAGGAGGAGCCACCCATACCTGAGGCAGAAAAGGCAACGTTACGCGGTGAACTGATTCCTGCCATGATCGCGCTATCAAACGCGTCCGACAAGGCAATGCGAGCACAAGTTGCAGAGTCTATCTCATTGATTGCGAGTACCGACTTCCCCGAGCGGTGGACGGACCTGGTCGATGTGAGCATTGTGGCTTTCGGTTGTCTCCCGCGTGACCTTTGTCCGTACAGAAACTCGTATATTCTCTTTCTGAAACCAATTATGACGTGAATATTGGCGTTCTGGAGACCGCCCATTCAATATTTCGACCATGGCGCGCCGCAACGCGATCCGATGCTTTGTTCACGGTCATCAACTATGTCCTCTCTCGCTTTACTCGACCGTTCCTCCAACTCTTCCTGCATTCAACCTCTCTTCTCTTCGCAAATCCCCCACCTGCCAACCTCGCGCAGATCGCGCAAGCAGAGGTGCTCCTGGCCGATATCTATTATGATCTCACCTGCCAGGACCTGCCTCCGGACATTGAGGATTCACATGTGCAATTTTTTGGGCCCGATAGCGGTCTATTTGTTCAGCTTTTAGCTTGGGAACGTCCAGAGTTGCAGCATGATGTAAGAGCTTTTGCTGTAGGTCCTCACTTGTCATTGACTATTCTTCAGGCAGAAGACACAACGCCATCGCTCCCATCGCAGATCAAGACGGGTATTCTTGAAATTGCTGAGGTTAGTAGGATTAACCCAAAGAGCCTCTGTGCATACTCACTCCGCACCGCAGCTTTACGTAAAATTGTATCCCGAGGTGCTGCAGAGCTCCGCGTCAGTACCAGCAATTGTTCGACAGGTGTGGGATTTAGTTGGGGGTGGCAAGCGGACCAGTGTTGCTGATGATGGAGTGAGTGCACCGTTTTCGTCGAACATACATAGCTGAGACTCTTTCTAGCTCGTCTCGCAATCACTGCGCTTTGTCTCGACTGCTATTCGTACTGGGCACTACAAAGACTTGTTTGGCTCAAAAGAGATCATCTCCAACTTAGTTCAGGGCATTGTTGTCCCAAATGTTGGCTTACGAGGTACTGCATTCCGTAGGGTAGTCGAGCTCGTACTTATCGCACCTATTTCGATCACCCAGAGCACGAAATCGAGCAGTTCGAGGACGACCCATTGGAATATATCCGACTCGACTTGGCTGTCCCGTCGCTCGGCGGGGCTGGTGTCAGCACTGACGCGATCACAAGGCGACAGGCTGCGGCCGAAGTTCTTCGAGCGTTGGTGTCGTCCGGATTTGAAAGCGAGACTACCGAAGTTGCCGGTGCGTGGATAGGGCAAGGCCTACAGGAATACAACGCAAATAAGGCCGACAACTGGCGTGCCAAGGATTCAGCCATATATCTGATGACCGCTGTTGCGACACGTGGCAGTACGACACAAGTATGTTAAATAGTGAGTGACACAGGGTCCATAGCTGAATCTTAACTTCCACGATCTAGCATGGGGTGACGTCAATAAATGCTCTTGTCGACGTTGTCCAGTTCTTCTCGGATCACGTATTCCAGGACCTTCAGGCCGATGCGGATAGTGTCCATCCTATCCTCCAGGTGGATGCAATCCGATTCCTTCACACATTCCGAAACCAGGTTGGCCCTGTTCTTGTCTAATTTGTTATGCGTGATTTCACCTTTCGTGACAGCTTGTCAAGCCGCAACTTCTCTCCGTTCTGCCGCTTCTCGTGCGTCATCTTGGCTCAGCCAACTACGTCTGTTATACCTATGCTGCGATCAGTATCGAACGAATACTGTTCATTAAACAAGGGAATCAACTGCTGTGAGTATTTGTGCTAGTTCACACTAGTCAAATTCTTACGTTACTGCTTAGGTTCACTCAGGCTGATGTTCATGAGATTGCGCCTCCTTTGTTGGATGCGTTGCTGACGAAGATCGAGTCTGCGGGTACTCCCGAAAAGATCGCCGAGAATGACTATCTGATGAAATGTATGCGTCGGGTTCTGAGTAAGGAAGTGACTAGAAGCTCACAACTGCTAATAGGTGTTATGCGCGTCATCATCACTGCTCGTTCAACATTGGCAGCAGGATATGAGCGGACCCTTCAACGACTAGTCGCGATTTTGGGTGTCATCTCAAAGAATCCTAGCAACCCTCTCTTCGATCAGTACATCTTCGAGACTCTATCAGCCTTCATGAGGTATGTTGCGACTCGACAGTCCAGCTGTGGTTCTTGGCTAATTGAGGGATAATCAGGTTTGTCGTTGGTGCCAATTCCAGCACGCTGGCTACATTCGAACAAGCTCTCTTTGGCCCATTCACGATCATCCTTCAGCAAGATATTGACCGTACGTTAGCCAGAAGTCTACTGCACCAATGATTCTGACAGTGCTGGTATCAGAATACATTCCTTATGTTTTCCAGGTTCTCGCTCAAATGCTTGAGTTGCATACTACGGACGTACCTGCGGAGTACCGAAGCCTCCTTCCGTTCCTCCTCACTCCTGCTGGTTGGCAACAAAAGGGCAGTATTCCCGGATTGGTCAAATTGCTTAAGGCTTTCCTTGCCCGGGATGCACAGCAGCTGGTTGCCACTGGCCAGTATTCAGCCATCCTGGCGGTCATACAGCAGCGATTGGTCCCGTCGAAACTCAATGATGCGTGGGGTTTCGAGCTACTGCAGTCTGTCGTCCAATACATTCCACCGTAAGTCTCGATGTTGTCCGAGTGTTTTGATATCGTCTCACTGGGTTATAGATCCGAATTACGACAATACTTCCGTGCGATCATGGTTACTCTTCTGACTCGGATGCAGACCAGCAAAACGGATAAATATGTCTACCTTTTCGTCTACTTCATTACATTCATGATGGCCATCAACGTTGATGGACTAAACCCTGATTACGTCATAAGTGCTGTAGAAGAGATCCAGCCACAGTAAGTTCACTACATGATATGCACGGGAAATAATGTTGAGCGCTCACAATGATGCACAGACTGTGGTCTCAGATTACTGTCAACTTCGTTGTCCCACAGGTTCCCAAACTGCTTCCGAAGGACCGCAAAGTGGCTGCCGTCGGCCTTACCCGGCTACTGACGCAGAGTACCCTTATGCTTCAAGAGCCGTCGGTGCAAGCATGGTATGACTGATCACCACCTTTCGAGTAGTCGAACTGCTAATTTTCATGATAACAAGGCCGGCAACCTTCGCCGTTCTCGCGAAGCTGTTCCAGGAACCCCAGCACCTAACGAAAAAAGATGGGCAAGACGATCCGGATGCGGGACTCACCGCCATTGATTTCGAAGAGCAAAATGCGGGCTACCAGGCAGCGTATTCGCGCTTAGCAGCGTCAGAAACGGTCGCTGTTGACCCAGCAGCCTACGTACGCGATCCTCGTGAATTACTCGGACGGGAGCTGGTCAACCTTTCGCAAAAAGGTGCACCACTCAAAACGCTCGTGGGTGCGGCAGATCCCACTGTGGTAGCACCGCTAATGCAGTCATTGGCGGCTGCTGGGTACACGGTGTAGTTGTGGCATCACATCGATGTGGTAGAAGTGTACATAGAGGAAAGTATCAACGCTGAGATGGACGACATGGATTAGTGACAAAGTACTTCAGACTGTATATCGACACATTGCATTGGAATCTCACTTGACATTGCTCACCACTGCGCGCCCTGCATGCCTGTCGCAGTTAGTTCATGTCTTGCCTTTGCATCATCTTGTACTCAAGAAGAGCTGCTCTGGCGTCATGCATCTCTGTCACTTGTGGGACGTAGATTGTAACTCGGCTGCGAACGTTTGAAATCACAAGCTAGGGTTGTCTGTGTTCAACTTCGCTGCACAAAGCAAATGCCCTCTATACCGCGCTGTCGTATGGCCAGAGGCTGGAGGCAGACTTCAAGTCTGACACATGCGAGATTATACGCACGCATCTACGTACTAAATAGGGGTATATAGTCAGAACAAAATGCGACGCTCTGCAAAGAAAGTTACTTGTCCAGCACGGTAGCAACGAAAACCTACAGCAATTGCTGTACGCGATGCATTCGCTACAGTCCCAACGGTATGGCTCCTGCGTAAATACACCTCCTCGATCATGGTTCCTATAGAACGGATAATTATATTCACCAGTCGCACAGCTCCTCGTCGGTCTTGCTAATAAATCCGCATGTATCTGCACTGCGAGCGGCGCCTTGGTCTTCTTCGCGAACTCCTTCACAAAGAAGTGGTCCAGAGCGCCTGTCGCAGATTGCATCGCAAGCAGCGAGGTGGTCGCAGACGGCGAGGAGGGAGAACTTAAGTGCGGACGCGCCGGGGTCGGTGACGACTCGGAGCTGCGTGCGGTCTGCGCTGCTGTCGTCGAGCAGCTGGAGCACGTTGAGGCCAGCGTCCTCCGCAGTCTTTGACCTCGTATGCGGGAGCATCTGGCTGCTCCGGGTGTTGAAACGTTGAATCATGGGTTCCAAGACGGAAATTTGCTACACGATAATTGTTGTTCCAAAATCTATTTACATACTGCATTCCTGAAACGCATTGCTGTATTTGGGAGACCTGCCTCCGAGCGTTGGTCGGGACGCGAAAGCAGGTTTGCGCGCCGCGCTGCAGGCTGTTAAGTATCATAGTAACAACATGTCCGATGAAATAGGACTGCACTATGTACCTGTTAACTCACTTTCCAGAGAGGTGTACCGTATGAGGCACCAAATGTTTGCAGCAAACATCACTGTAAATGACCTCAAAATCGTCATAGGAGGTTCACGGCAGCCTCCAGTCGACCCGGGTTGTATTGGCCCTTGGAAGGTGTGGTTCAGCAACACGTGTTATATATGATTCACGATTTTCACCAATTGTAGACAAAAAAGCCCTTCGACACAAGAAAAACGCTGCGAGACAGACTGGAAGAACACGACTACATACTCGGGTGGGTTGCGACTGAGATGGAAAACCCGTCTGACCGAATACAGGCACTTATACCTAGAGATCTAGGACTGAAAAACAAGTTCAAAAGTCTGACGAAATTGCCGCAATCTTCGCAGCTTAAATGCGACTTTTTCTATACCATTGAGCATGAGATGGAATTTTCCCAACGTATGTATCATCTACTCCTAGTGTACTTGCTATTTTACTGATTTGATTCGACACAGCCCCGCCTGTTGTAGCTGTGCAAAAGCTCGAGAACGATCATGCAGATCTGTTCGCACTACTTCAGCTAACAATGCGCTTTCAGGGGAAGTGGACGAAGCGCGAAGTTATACTGAATGGAGGAATTTTTTCCTCGGAGAGTCCAGGGAAAATGGAAAAGAAGTTGAATGTCAAAATCCCACATGTTTGTATCAAGTCCCTTGCTGTTCTTTTCCCCCTAATTTTTGTCAGTTAGAGGGCGGGGCCGAGATCCCTGGAAGAAGTGCCCCAAAATTCCCATAAGCATGAATTCGAAGAGATACTCTCCTCTTCGAAGGATGTTATACAGGTCATCAAGCGCCGTGAAATCGTGACACTCTTCAATGTCCTCCATTGCCACGTCCCAGACCTGCACCTGGCATCTGATACACCGTCGTCTTCCAAGGCCATGTGACTTCATGGTATATTTCGTTAGACCTCTGTTTGTGCCGACTCTCCCGGAGAACAGTCCCTGTGTATTTCGAGAGTGTGTAGTCTCCTTATGTTGCTGTTGATACTCCAGTAAGCATGAGCTAATCTGATACCCCTAGACAGGTATCTTGGAAGTTTCCGGTGGTTATACAGCCTTCGGATCTGATTGGTGGATGGCGGAAATATGTGCCAGTCAGCGATTGGAGCATTATTTTTCGCGGCTATTCGTCCCCTTTTTTCTTGTCGGAGGTTATTTCAATGGCAGGCGAAGAAGATAGATATCGAATGTTGGCGCAAGGTCTAGTGGCAGTGCGTGTAGGAAAATTCATTTTGAAAAGCGACTAGAAGGCGGACTTTTTCGTTGTATGTGTATACCTCAAGTCCGATTCTACGGCGGAGAGGTACATCTTTCGCGGTGGCACAGATAAGCAGGTAAGATAATAGCAATATTGCTGCATACCTGTGGTTCCAACGCGACCTATATCCCTGACAGGTACACATTCACCAAAAGGACTTCGACCTTAAAGCAAGCATCAATGCGGTACACTTTCTTCGAGAGTTGTATAATCTCCGAGGGGTAATTGCTGAACTGGAGAAGGAACTAGACCCATCGAAGAAAGGAGCCTTGCAGGAGATTAACGACATTGGCCGGAAGGTAGTATCACTTTCGAACAAAAAGGACAAGTCAGGCTGGGCATTGTCGACGGGCATTCTGCAGCGTGCGCCAGGCAGCGTCGCCGAGGAGGGCGAACCTAATCTGGACGATGACTTGGGGGTCTTTGGTACTGATGAGGGGGCTGCTGTCGTCGAGTACGTTTTATTCGGGGTAATTTTTTACATCTACTTCTCAACAGCCCTGAACTTGCAACTAATCTATGACTTCCTGTTAGCACCCTTTTGTCGCCTATGTGTGGGATGGCAATAATGAAGCGGGAATCTTCAAGTTCGTGCCGAAGGGTCAGACTGAAGTCGATGTGCTCCAATACCTGAACGCGATCGACTCTCCTAAGAACCATACGGTTCGTCCAATACAGCTTCGGTCGACTAGCCAGGGGATGTTTGTCCATTTGCCCCCTCCGGGGGTTGGCTTGGATGTCTCCGAGATTTGGACGAACACTTGAAGAACACCACATTACAACTATTCGGAGCGATCGCGTTTATGCACAAACACCACGTAGCCCACCTTGATCTGAAGCCCGCAAATATTGTCATTCCGCCGGAGTATGGGAGACTGACCATCATAGATTTCAGCCATCCGATTTGCGTCAAACGCACTGGTCAAACGGTAACTGGTCTCTTCGGCACAGAGGGGTAAATCGCGCCGGAAATGGGTGAGAAACCATATGATCCCATACGAGCTGATTTGTGGTCTTGTGGCAAGGTTGTTGAGGAGTTGTGTGCTCACTGCAAGTCGCCTTCGCCAATCCATGAGCAGTTAGCCGCTACCGCCGGGCAGCTGATGAGCCACGATCCTCTCCGGCGGCCCACCATGATTGATGTCATTTGAATGCTCAAGTGTTCTGATGCAAAGCCTGCATTTGGTCGTCGCATGATCAGTCTTTTAAAGTATGTGTTATTGTTGTTATCCTTGGCAAATTGAAGTGCATGTGGACTAATAACTTATATCTCAGTATCTTTCCAGAAAAAACTCACACCACTGGTGGCCCAGAGTCTGGCCTTTCCACCCAGTGAGGTCAAAAGGCTAGCCCTTGAGCGCTGAGCCTTTGGAGAAGCTAAAAGTCACCTCCGGTCAGATGGCAAAGAGTCAAGTGTGGTCATGAACTGGAAGGTAGAGGACATCTGTATCCACCAGTACACATTGCAATGTAATACACGCTGTTCACAAATGTGTCATCGAAACACCCGTCATTCGCTCATAACATAACGATAACTTCGCAGGCAAAGCTTTCATTTCAGATACAAACTATGGGATGCGTCATCGTACTTGTTCGACAGGTATATCCAAGGGTAGGGATGAATAAGAGGGTTTAGCCCTTTGTCAATGACGAACGTGATCAAGGTCGTCCTTCCACGACTTGGGCAACCAGAAATCGCTATTTCCGTTACCATACTCAACCCACCAGTGGTCGGAATTGAAAGGACTCAACACGATATTCTAATCACTGGATGAGCACGTATTTTAAATGTGTACCAGTATCAAGCTTACCTCTACCGAGCTTGCTGCTCTAAGCTTATCGCCGAGTCGACTCGGACAGCCATGCCAGGACCAACGATTGTTACCCCAAGTCATGGCCCAACTGCCGTTCGTACCGATCGAGAGCGTCTTGATATTGCGTGACCCCACTTCATCGATTTTATCGCGAAGAGTCTGGTCAACGCTGCCCCACTTAGTGCCCCCGGCAGATGACTTGGAGAACCAGTCGCCCTTCCCACCAAATGCGTAGATTCTGATGTCAGAGGTCGGAATTCCACTGGCTGTCCCATTAGTATCTGCAGAGGATCGTTATTCAAGGAATGCGGAGGTCGGAGGAACTATGCCTACAAGTCCCCTGAGAGGTGCGCAGCCAATACTTGCCCCCTGGGCCACCGGCTAGTCCCCGCACCTGGCTAGTGTTCACACTACGAAGGTGGGTAGCGAGCTCGGAGGGACAATTCTGCCTACGTAGCGAGTCATTACAGGGTATAAAGATTGTACGATTGTAGCGCACTGACCACCTCGACTTGCTCCCGTTGCTGATATAAAAGCCCTCGCTCTGGTTACCGACGAAAGTGATCATGGTAGGCGAAAATACTGAGGGAATGGGATGAGAAGAGAGCCGTTTTATAGGCTGGCGGTTCGATAAATGGCGATGTCCACTGTGCTGGGCCCTGAATTAAGTTCGTGCTGCGCCTAATCACTGGAAGCCTACCTGCTGTAACACTTACCGGAAACAAGCCAAATGTGTGAGCGCCAAGAGTATGCAGTACCGCATCTAGGATGAGCGTTGAGCGGCCGTCATGAACAAGACTAGATTCAACGTTGATGGGACGGGCACTGATTGATCTGTACGGAAGTTAATACATTCTTGACGACGGCGTCCTATAATCTCATTGTTGTTGAGGCCATGCACATCAAACCACAGGACCTAGAAGCTGCGGTGACGGGAGCGCACCGTGATACTTCGCACAAGTGCTTCCAGGATCGATATGTACTTATATTCCCGAACGAGAGAACTCGGAGATCCTTGAGGTACAATCTCAGAGGAGAGAACGCTTGACGCCACTGGCTTGTTGGTCCCAGACGATCAGTGTTCTAGCCAAGTCAAATGCATCGATGACACGACCAGAAAACTCGACGAGTATACACTTACCACGTTAGAATGTCCAGCGGCGGGCATGACATCAGATAACATTCTCCCACTGAACACGCAACTCCGACTATAATGAGGATGTAGACTCTGGGCCGGTCTTAATACGCATGTTCCGTCGTTCACACGTCAGGAGATGAATGGAATCTGGTCTTTGGGAAGTCCCTGAAGCGGCCTAGTCGAGCCTCTATCGAAACTTGACTATCGTCAGCTGCTACTTGTACTTTGCCACTCCGCCGCATCGCATCCACTTACCTGACATGACGTGGGTCAGACGACCATTGATACCATACGGTCAACGCCGAACGCAGTTCTCGGGGAGGAGTATCCGAGTCTGCTATGGCTATGCAGATAATGGATATTGATTACTTTAATTTCAGACCATGTATCGCCCCCTAGTCGAGTCGAAAAATCAGCCGCATATGCTTGCCATTCGCACCGCTGGCGCTAAGCCTTAGCATAGTCATTGTACGTGCGCGCATTATGGTATTGTATTGTCGGTCAGAGTAGATCATGGTGATGGATCTGCGTAAAAGGTAGTTCTGAGACATATATGGGGCCGAGGCAAGAGCAAGGCTGAAGATACTGGAATTCTGAACCCCATTGGCATCCGTGCGAACTTTGAGGTTACCACTCTCCACGGTGGCCGCCGTCTTGTTCCATGCATGCGCACGACTTGCCCGAGTTCTGAAATAGCGGATCCTTGCTAAAGTTTTTTGCGTTTCTTTCAGCATACATTCCTAGCATGTCATCAACGATACCATATACTCTTTGACTATGGTATGTACCAGATTGTACTACTGACAAGACTCCTACTAATGTCCTGTAGGTTGACATTGGCCACCGCCTATCAAACACGTTAACGAAGCTATACTTCTATGTACGACGTGAATTTTTCATCGGAAATGCGGGCAACATTACCGTCGTGGGGCCCTCTACAGGATGGCAGTTCC